AATGGTCTCCAACGTCCCAGGGGTCGCGGGCGGCGGCCGAACGGCCGTTGGGGAGCCGAAGGGCCGTGGGCGACGGGAGACGGAGGGACCCTTGAGGGCCCTTGAGGGTTTCATATGGTTTCATCTGGGTGAGTGACAAGTGGGGACACCTGGGAAAGACCGCCAGACCGACATGGGAAAGGCCGAACCGCTTCGGTGAGGGAGGTTTTGAGCCACCACCATTTTGCTTCATAACCGACCTATGGACTCAGGACCCGTGCCATGTGGAGCCTTTCTTCAGTTGGAAAACACCCGTGCCACATGTTCCTGACCCTTAAGCCATCCCGAAGCACAGCACCTGGTTTGAATTGGGCGAACCGTGTTTCTCCTTATGAGATCTATGAGTGAATGCCCTTCTGAGGAAGATTGATTCTTCCTTAAATCAAATCCAAGACTGAAGAAAATGTGTCGAATCTTTTTTGGAGGCCTCGAAGAAAAGGGACGAAAGAGGTCGGCACCACTGAAAAAATCTGAAAAGAGGTCGGGGACCTCCACGCCAATTTCATCCTTTTGTGAGTGTGACAGTGGGTGGTGCACATGGTTTCCCTCAATCTTTTTATTACAATAGTTCGATAGGTGAACTATGGTGAGCTAGCTGAAGTCCAGTAGAAGTAGTCACCCCGATGTTCCAGCTTTGGGTGACCAGTGCTGGAATACAGAGATGACTCATGATGACTCTTGTATTTGTTGCAGATTTGCCCAAGAGCATAGGTCCGGCACCCAAAAGTGGATCACCTGCAAGCCACTTTTTTGCTGCTTGGTTTCCCCACAAAAATTCAACATGTAAAATGATTAACCTTGTCAAATACGGACCTAGCAGTAAGTATCAAGCCCAGCTCGAACACCCAGCAAGCAACTAATTTAAACCTAAAGTCCACTTTGTCCTCACCCTAAAAACATACTCCTTGGCAGAAACCTCTCCTTATTAATCAAGCCTAGCTGCCCCAGCAAAATACACAAGGTTTACATATATTATACTTTCTTTTCAATTATCATTAATTATCTTCCTATAGTGAAACTGATCTTTTGATCCACCCTTTTCTCATGCCAAGCCACAAGGTCATACCAATCATCCACACTCCACCAATCTGACCATCCAGTATAGGCATCCACCCTCACCACATAGAGACTCCATCTCTCATTCCTCCTCCATGCTCTCGGGTGCAAGCTCCCAATTGGCATGGCACTGATCTCTAATCTCTCATCAAGCTTGTGTGTGCCAATATACATAAGTTCTCATGGTTCTCATGATGGTTCAGAATCCCATCAACCATCATCCATCATCAGATCCAGGTCATCACCTCATCCATCATCAGGTCATCACCTTAAGGGGGGGATCTGGTCGTCCGCTTTACCTTCAATCTCGTTGACCTTGTTGACCTTGAATGTGGGGGGTTGATTAATCCTACGTGGACATTGTTGTTTATTGTTATTTTCCAGAGAAACTGAGGGGATCGGGCATTGTCATGTCTATTTTGGTGATGTGCAGAGCTTCTGCATCTCAGCCACAAGGCCACATCCCCCAGTGCGTCCGGTGCGGTTGGTGTCGGAGGCGGGAAAAGCATGGAGAACGGTGAGGGGTGCCGCACTGACTGACTTCAACTAATTCAATGAGCAATTTGGATAGACTTAGTGATCCCACCAGTAACAGTCAAAAGGCCTTTACTAACCATCCACTGCAGACTGGTGGCAGTATACCCAAAGATAGAGTCCAGATGATCAGTCCATTGACGTTCTTCGTCCTTCGTCCGGTATTGTGGTTGTCGTCCGAACCTGAACGGGTGGGGACGGGATCAATGGGGCGCCTCACAGTGGTATATGATATGGATTACTACCTCTATAGCGCTTACGCATCCACCAGTGAGACGTGGTTACCATATATTATAGATACCGTATACCTATATGATAAGATTTTTTATAGTTGGGAAGGGGAAAGGCCAGAAACCATCCAGCGAATATCTTCAACCGGGTCACTCACGATCAGGACATCTCATTGGTTGCCGACACACTCCAAATCTGTGAAGCTTCACGACATGGAATTGGGGGCACTTCGCTACCGGATCCACTTCAAGATTCACGATGTATACCCAGGTAGGTCTTCAAGTGGTACTGTTTTGTTGCCGACCATTTGTCAGTCAATGTGTCAGAGTCATGTCAGTGAGGAGAGAGTGCACTCATGGAAGGACAGCACTCGCTTACTTCGTAGTCCGTCGACGATGTTTTTGCTTGTTTGTATGAAGCCGAGAAAGAATATGCGGAATGTGACGGACTAAATATTGGACACAAAACTTTATTTTTAAGCAGGGGACACCTTTGTCACAAGTCAGGTCATGTAAACTCCCTTGACCGTTGCTGTTCATCCCTTGACCATTGCATTTCACGCAAGAATAATAATAATGTCAGGACGTGAACTGCGCAAACGGCGCCTATCCAATGAGCGCGAGAGGGGCACCGCCCAAGCGAGTGTCGCCTATTGCGCAGGCAGGATTCTCGGGCGATTTTGCAGTGATAGTTCTTTTCTATGACTCAAAGGGCAATCCCAGCTGTGGATAGGTTACCAGCACCCTCCAACGGGTCTCCTTTAACAGCTTTTGGAGACTCAAAAGTGCATGTGTTCAGCGTAGGGACGGCTCACCTGGATGATTGTGGTTCCTTTGGTTGATGCAGCTCAAGAAGAAGTTTCAATGGATTTTATCATCAACCGGTCTTAAAGCTTTGAACACAAATGCAGTGAAATGTTGTTTGTATTAGGAATCAAAAGACATGAGAGTGGACATGATGATACATGGACCGAAGTCCAATATATAATATATAGTTGACCTGATGTTGCAGACGTGGTTCTTTGACTAAGAACGCGGTTTCAGAGCTTGCTTTGAAGAACGACTTTTAAGGCAAACTCATGGTTTCTTGAATACCATACACTATCTGAACCAATCATGGAAGTGGAAGACATTTGAACACCATTTGTTTGCAGAGGAAAATAGTCATCCAATGGGGCGCCATCCACGTAACCAAGATGCCAAGGAGTGTTTGGTTGAACGGTTGGTAGTCATGATCCAACATCCCCGAGAGAAAGTCCGCGTGGTCATCCAAGTTGGCCGCCCAACATGGTGCAGGGAGGGGAGAATATAATCTGAGTCCACATCAAGCACTTGGGGCCCTCAAGAAGGGGCTCCGTTTTTTTTCTCATCCTCTTGAACAATGTTTTTTTCCCCTCCCATTTTACCCACCCTCGAAACCTTTTTTTTTCACCCTCAAGATTCCTTTTTTCCCCACCCTTTGGAACTTTTTCTTCCACCCTTCCAACACCGTTTATTTTCACCCTGCACCCTGTCATTTTCACCCTGTAGCATGTTTCTTTCACCCTTCACCTTGTTTTGCTTCACCGGCTTCACCCTTCATCCTTTCTTTTCACCCTTGACCCTTTCTTTTCAACCCTCCGCCGGTGAAGCAAGTAACCCCTGGAACCTGCACAGAGAACGATGTCACCTCCGGTTTGTTTCACACCGCTTGTTTGCACCTGCCAAACCTCAATAACTTCTTGTTACTATCCCTTCGGAACCCTCCGGAAACTGCGCAGAGACTGTCCGGAACGACGGCAACCGCCGGAAACTGACCCGGACGCCTCCGGAACGTGAGGCAGCACAGGATCCATCCATCCATGCATGCATCCATCCATCAACGGAGTGCCAACCAACCGACCAACCAACCAAGCAACAACGCGGCCAAGCCAACAAACCAACCAAGCAACCAGCAAGCCAAGCAACCAAACCACACAACCCTGTGCTTTCCCCAAAGGCTGTCGATATTTGGCTTGCATTACAGCAAGCTAGCCAACCAACCAACACACAAGAAAGGGTCGAGGGTCAAAAAGGAAAGGATATCGGATAGAGCGTGAAAAAAGAAGGTTCGAGGGTGAAAAAGGAAGCTTCAGAGGGTGAAAAGAAAGGTGGAGGGTGGAAAAAAAGGGCTTGGTGAAAAACATTGTTCAAGGGTGACCAAAAAGGTTGCCCCTCAAGAAGTTGCAGACACTGTTGAACAAACACATATTGTTGAGCAAACATATATGAATTGAAAAGTGCATGACTTAGTCATCAGGTTGATTATGTTGCCAAGAAAATCCAAGAAAGTGGTTCCAGATGGCCCCCCCAAGTGGTGCTGGATCAAAGACTTGTGGCGACTGGGCAGTCCGACGGCGCAGGTGGACCGCTCGGTGCAGTCCGTCGCAAACTGAGTCTAGACTCAGCTGTGGTGATGGAGGTTTCTCAGGCACATGGTGTGGGTGGCACTAGGCACGACTGACCTTGGCGTGCCAAATCCTTTGACCAACCGACCGGATTACCAACCGACTTGGACCGGTGGACCAGAAGCGCGCTCCGACCGGGCGCACCGACCGGCTTCCGCACTGGACGGCCATGGGACCTTCAAAAGAAATGAAGCGCTGGACTGCGCTGGACTGATTGGGGGACCGCATGGATTCATTCAAAGGTTTACTTCATCGTTGACGTGCCTTTGGTAAAGGCAACTCTGCAAGCCAAAGACACAAACCGACCCGCGAAAAAAAACAGAGAACAGGCAATCTGGAAGGGTCCTCATGTTGAGTCGATTCGTATTGAAATTGCGGTTTTCATTTGTCACGGAGCTGCCCTTCGGTGCTTTTCGGAAGCTGCATCAAAGGATTATTGTGCTTTGTCCATGGTTTTTCCATGAGCTATTGGATCCATCGTCGACAATCCCATCAGACATCGGCCATCGTCGACCTCGGCCATCGTCGATCGTGAACACCCACTTGAACCGCGTGAGCCATCTCCAGGGGTCTCCAGCGCTTATAAGCGCTGGTGATGTTCGGACGGCAAAGCTGAAAAACATTCAAGGGGCTGTGCAGGACTGAATGAACTAAAGGCTTTAGTGCAGAGGCTTGCTGGGACCTCAAAATGACCCCTAGAAACACTTCTTTGTCTACAGGAGACCGCTGGGTAAACCAGAGCCAAATCCAAATTGCAGCCATGGCAGTTGAGAAGAACGTTGGCATTGGCAGAAGTTTGGAAGGAGATGACTCCGCTGAACGAGATGCAAGACAAACACAGGTGGTGGGAGTGGGTTTGTCGAATTGTTTTTTTATCGCTGTTCCATCATGTCAAAGTGGCCTGTGATGTTTGACAGATCAGAATCGCAGAGCTGACGCAAGGATTTGCCAAATCAAAAGTCAATAGTGAGGAATCAGCTCTATCTAATCTACTATAGACTATAGATATACAGAACCGTTTGGATCCTTTTGGCATTATCTTTGTTTGGATCGAACAAGTAGAACTTCTCTATATCCAGGCCCACATGAAATCGTCCCACAGCCAAATCAATCAAAAACGACTGCCTCCTAAACGCCGACCTTAAAAAGCCGACCAAAAACATCACCCACCCCAACACACCACCCCAGGTTCTTTCAAAAGCGACGACCCCCGACCACACCAGCTCTATAGACACCGACCAAAAACACCTCTGGACCTCGCCGCTCGTGGAAGGTGGCGACCTACGTGGCGCGCATGGAAATCAGTGATCCCGACGTCCTGCGCGCCACGCGCGCGCACTGCGCCTTCCGCGGCTGCGCGCAGGCCCTGCGCCCGGAGCACGGAGGCTGGTCGGCGGATGCGGCCCACCACCCAAGACTTCTATATTATATAGAGTCGATTCGACTTAGCATATTTGGGAACTGTTGGGACATGTTGGGAACTTATTTGTTGTAACTTTGACGTTTGCTTGGACCTTATGAAACTGTTGAGAGTTTTGGAAGATCTACCTACGGCTTTCGATCTTCTGCGTGATCCTGAACTTATTATTTCCGGGCCAGCATATTCCATTTGAACCCAATAGACTAGGCCCGGCATGACTAGGCTCGCTTTGCAAGTGTGCCCCAAACTCAAGCTGTAATTCTTCGCGTTGGGTTTGTATGGGTTCACGCCATCCTAACGCCCCAGAATCACTGGCAGCTTGCTTCAGCCATGAGAGGAGAAGGATATTATTATGCATTTCACAAAAGAGGGTGCATTGTTTCCGGCATCAGGTCCAAACTCAACAGCATTGCAAAGCCAAGCTGTGTGGAGCGGAATCTCCACCGATATGATACGATATGTTTCCGAATGTTTCAGAGATGTTTTATAAGTAACTATATATAATAATAATAAAGATATAAATGATAAGGTTTAGGTGTATTTAGGGTGTCAAGATAGATGTTCGCATGTTTTCGCGAATCCACATCCAGGAAAGCAATGACAGAACAACATGTCAATCACCTGATCGCCTGATCAATGTCCAACCCCTGAAGACCATAACCGCAAACCCTTAAAGTTTTGTTGTGACCCGATGTTGATGTCACTTATGGAGTTGAAGGAGTGTGCTCTAATTTTCTTCGAGGGTTAAGCTGCTGACCCTTCATCTTCTGAGCTGTTGCGCACCTCCACCAACCTTGGAATCCGTGAGGAGCCACCGATTGGAACACATTATATTTGTTGAAACCAACATGCGACGTGGATGTCATTCAGCCAGCAGTTTCATTTTGGACAGGGTTTGCTTCGTCCTGGGCAACCGATGCCCCCACACCAGGACTGTTGGCATGGTACACGAGTGTATGTTGGCACATCACACATTCACGCGCTTTTGGAGGTCAATAATTTTGTAATACGACCTAAAACATTAATCGGCTAATTGACCGATGCAGGCAATCTTTATCATGAGAGCTTTGTGAGCGAGAAGATCTCCTGCTTCTGGTCACACTCCTGGCACGGTGGGCCTTGGACGAAAATTCTGACGCTCTTGCTGCACCATAATGGACTTGCTGCAGTTCTCTCTGGCTTCTTTGGTCAGATTTCAGCGTCCGGAGTCCAGATGTGTGTGTGTGTGTCACCCTCTGTTACTAAGAGTTTTTCCACCTAACAACTCCGTTGTTTGCAGGGGGGAGAGAGGACTTGGCTCCTTGCAAGATCCTAGTAAGCGGAAACTGATCACTTCCGTGTACCTGCACCTTTGGAACTTTTGTCCAAGCCGTGACTCCACTTTTCCTTTTTTGTTTCATGGTTCTTGCACGATACCTTCCCTAAACCTTTTCCCGCAGCTACGCCGCGTTGACGTTTGCCACCGCCATTTTCGTGAGCTGCAGACGTGCACAAACCATGTGTTGAAACACCTTCAAGTATTTGGACGCTTCAACGGAAGCCATTCCTTTCCTCGTGGGACAGGTGAAACTGCAAACCCATTATCTAAGTGTGTGCCGCAGTGTCGTCCCACTTGGGTGCACAGTGTGATCCCCCGCAAAGGGGCGCAGAGACCATTCCGGACTGCCGTGTAACTGATTCAGCGTTTTTCCGCATGCGTTGGATTGCCTTTTCTGATTTGAGTGTTTCACCCAATGAATTTCCTGACTCACATGCTGCCGAGCTACGGAGACTCTTTCCACAGCCTTTCAAGTTTTTTCGCGGTTCAACAGAGGGAAATGGTGCTCGACACACTTGTGTGTCGGTGCCTTTCCCTTTGTTGTCCCTGTTCGAGTCTACTCTACCCGGGCGGTGTAAGACTAAAGTCCCGCTCCCTAACTATTGCACCTAATTAGGATCCGCTAAGTAATCGGTAACTCTAGAGTGCTAAGTATTCAGACACACACATGCACACACACATGGACATACAACCCCTGCCTGCCCCCCGCTTTCTCTCTTGCGCTTTCTTTGTTTTCTATGTTTTCTTTCAGGCTTGTTAGGTGGTTCTAGCGGCTCGTTTCCCTGCCCCAGTCAAGTGCTAAGTAGTCACTTTTTCCGCTACTCCTACCTTTCCTTCTTGCCCTTTTCGTTTTTGCTCTTTCTGTTTTTCCTTTTCTTTCCTAAGGCTTTTTAGGTGCCTATTCAGGTTCTTCGCGAGAGCGCCGCAAAGCGGCCTTCTGGGTGTGTGCCACCCTCATGCGCCGATGACGGCGCACTGTGTGTGTCACCCTCTGTTACTAAGAGTTTTTCCACCTAACAACTCCGTTGTTTGCAGGGGGGAGAGAGGACTTGCCAGGCTCTGCCGAACGAAGCTCCTTGCAAGATCCTAGGAAGCGGAAACTGATCACTTCCGTGTACCTGCACCTTTGGAACTTTTGTCCAAGCCGTGACTCCACTTTTCCTTTTTTGTTTCATGGTTCTTGCACGATACCTTCCCTAAACCTTTTCCCGCAGCTAAGCCGCGTTGACGTTTGCCACCGCCATTTTCGTGAGCTGCAGACGTGCACAAACCATGTGTTGAAACACCTTCAAGTACTTGGACGCTTCACCTTTCCGTTGAGCCATTCCTTTCCTCGTGGAACAGATGTAACTGCAAACCCATTATCTAAGTGTGCCGGGTTGATGGTGTCATGTTTTGTACGTTGGTTTTGTTTGTCAATTCTAGACCAACTTTTTGGATTACACAAATTCATGTGTGGACTTTGGCACACGCCTTTTTGCAGAAACTGGTGGAAAAAATGGCTTTGCCAGAGCTCAATCCACGCTTTCCTACACAGCACTGAAGAAAAGTTCCGCGATCTACTACTGTGGTACCACAGCAAGACATGGGTGTTTGCCGTGTTCGCGTGTTGTGTTTGCTGCAGACCAGATCGATGAATCCTATGTTGGAGTTTGGATTGGACACCTAGTAACTAAACATGCATATATACATACACATATATATGTAGTTTAGCTATATATATATATACCCTATAGGTTTCGCGGGCTAAGTTTAACTTGGACGTTATCGATGCACAAGTTTAACCAAATAAACTTATACGTTCCGCTATGCACAAGTTTAATCGAACGTGAACCGTGAATGGTTCAAACTAAATCTGTGGTGGAACAACCACAATTTTGTGGATGTCGTTTCAGACCTGTTGGGATCAATACATGTTTTATGTCAAAAAGGATCTAATATTTGCGTCTGAGATATTACTTGACTGAAAGAATGTATTGTCATACCCAGACCGGAAAGGATGAGGTTTTGTGAAGATCTCAATGAAAGTCATAGAGCACTTGGACACATGAAAAAAAGGGAGTAGCGTGAAATAGCGTGAAATAGGCGTGAAGTAGCGTGAATGTTTACCCGTTTACCCGTGAATACACAAGTTTACCCGTCAAATTGGACCCTATGCAATGTTTCATGTTTTGTTTTTGGTGACATGTGTGATAATTTTTTGATATTACATGTATATAGAGAAATGTAGAAACTTCCAGAGGTTTGGGGTGGCACACCAGACAAACACGAATTTCGAGGCTGATGAACTGCGACTGACTGGGTACGTCTCTAAGATTTTAGGTATCATCTCTGAGTTTCTGAAAAAAAAATTGTTGAAACCAAGGTCCTGGACTGATTTTGAAAGGTTTGTTTAAAACGGGTTGAAAAAGCCAACCAAACTGAGCACAGGGTAAACTTAGGCGGTACGAAATGTCTTGAGTAAACGACGTGGGTAAATGCACAAGTCTACTAGACGTTTGAAGTTGAGGGCGTACATATATAGTTATATATTATATATAGCATTGTATAGTTATATATATATATGCATGTTATATATTATGATAAATTATGTTTTATTGTAGGTTATAAATTAAACATGTTTGTCATTCCCGGGAGATGTAGACATATGACAGATTCTGTAGATATGCAATCGGCTTGGGAAGAGATGCACATTTGCGAACAAAGGTGGTCTATCCTCCCAAAGCTCATGTGTAAAGGGAAGACTGATGAGTAGCATCAACATCGCTTTTTTCCACGGTCTCCATGTTCAGCCGTGTATGAGCAGTCTTACCACCAAGAGCTGCATGAAAGCTCCAAGTTTTGCGTGAACGGAGCTTGCAGATGATTCTGACATCAATTCAAGAAGTTGACATACAGTGCTCTTCATGACAATAGTTTCATTTCCAGTGTAGACACATGGAGCAATCTCCTCTGCAAATCAGACAGGTGTCAACCCATCGCCAGGACAGGTGCCCTTCTCCAACTTCCCCAGAGGAACGATATGCTTTCAGTCTAGAAAGGCAGTGTTCTCATCATTTGCAGCTTCTCCACCACGTGCTTCTCCACCACGCGGTGTTTGCCAGGTCTCCGTTCGGTCTCCCCCACGAGGAAACCCACCACGTCCGCCTCGGTCGAGGTTTTTTCGCCGCCTTGGTCGCGATGCTCCTTTTCGGCCTGGGCCTCCTCCGTGGCATCCCACGGAATTCGGATGCTCCGGACATGCAGTGGTCCACGTGGTCACTGGGAAGCTTGGTGTAGTAACAAGAAGCTACTAGGAACAAGTGCATCGCTACTAGTAACAAGTGCCTTACTAGTAGTAACAAGAAGCTATTAGAAACAATAAGCTACTAGGAACAAGTGGATGGCGCTGGGAATTTCACTGCATGAGTCGAGCAGACTGGTCGAATTCACTAGTGAGACTTTCTGGGCAGTGAGACTTGCTAGCCGCCCAGCATGTGTGTGAGGAAAAAACAAAGAACCCTGAACTTCTGCAGATCCTTTGATCCTCTTTGGTGTGGGACCCTGGGATCCTGGGACCCTCCGATCATTTGAATCAATAACTTGTTGAGAAACAAAAAGGAACCTGTTGGAAAACCGCCACTGGTTCTTCCCAGAGATGTTTTTAAGGAATATTGGTCGACTGTTTTGTTCCTCTGTTTCCTTCTTTTTTTCGTCGGTCATTCGTCCTTTAGGGCTTCCTTTGTTAAATGGTACTGTGTAGGAAACCGTCCGTTTCAACCGCCCGTTTCAACGGCGGTCCGAGGCAGTGGTTTGCTCATTGCCGTGCTCGTGGTGGTCTTTTGGCGCTCACAGCAGCTGATCTTTTTGGATCGGATTTGTATCGACCGGGATGACCGAGAACAGAAGAGACCAGTCGCAAAGGAACAGAACAGACCCTTTTGGGGTGCGTTATATTTTTCAGCCTCCAACATGTGGGTGAAGTCAGAAAGCATCGCAGCCTTTTCTATATTATATATATATATATTTGATTATACTGATCCCCTAAATAGATAGAATTGTGACAGTAAGCATGATACGTAAATAGATAAATTGTACATTGTTTACATATGTGTCTATTTATTTGTTGGGCACCACCTTTGGAAATAACTTGTTCCAATACCAGGAAACCAAGCCGGCCAAGGCCGAGCTGAAACTAGTCAAAGAACGTGTCCCCCCATCACTTCCTTTGGTCTTTGCTTTTCGATTCGGTCACTCAGGAGAGCTAGCATCTTCAGCTTAGGCGGGATCCTGAAGAAGTCCAAGGAGCCCTTCATTGGCCAAACATCAGTTTTTTGAAACCGACCAACGTGGAAGTGCATGTGGTTAAGCCTGTTGGGTTTAATGTGTTGCTAGCTCTACCAATCTGGATGGTCAACAGTCTTCGAGTCTCTGACAAAGGCATTCTTTCTTCAAATCCGCATTGTTGAATGGACATCCTGCACCTGTTTTTCCAGTTCTATGTGTGCTTCAGGGAGGGTAGGACATTCTTTCTGTGAGGTGATGCAGGATTGGATCCATTCAAGAAGCCTTGAAGGCAGCACTCTTGGGTTCGAAGGTTTTTAGCAATGCCTTTTTGATCCTTTTTGCGTTAGACAAAAACATCAAACCAAGAGAGGAAATGCTTGTGCTTTGGGATTCCACGTGGAGCGGGCGCCTTTGGTGCGTCTTTGAACTCGCTGCCTTTCTAAAGAGCCAACAGTCATCGAGTGAGAAGGTGCTCCTCATCAGACCCACGTTCTTGGGCCCCTGTTCGATGGTGCTCTTCTTCGGGAGCTTTTTCATGATGCTGCCTGTGACTTGGACAAAACAGTCGAAACAGGCAGGAAACATATTTGTTAAACTTTGCGCTGAGTCCTGAGTTGAGGCACTAAAGGACCTGGACATGCAAGGACATTGAAGCAGTTTTTTTGTGGAATACTTTTGCAAGGACATCACGGACGTTTGCAACAGTACTTTGCGAAAGCCCTTGTTTATTTGTATCACTATGTCAGAACTGTCCACTGGGGTGAAAAACACCCTTTGTGACGTCGCACCACGTTGTCCCTTCGGTCCGTCGGCCCGTCAGGTGACCACCATGTCCTTTAACCAGAGTTGGGGACCCTTTGGACTCATCGTGCGCGCCTTGGGCGCCTTGCTGTTCGTCTTCATCGCGGGCACCTTCATCTCACTGGCTCTGCGCGCGTATTTCCGCTCGGTGGAGAGGCTCCTAGAGGAGCTGCGCAACATCAGCGTGGAGAATTGCAGGCTTCGTCTTCGAATGCGAATCGATGCGCTTGGAGCGGTGGTGCGGTTTTCCTTATAGACTTAACAATCAAACACAGCCACACAGCCCTGTTTTTGGGAGCAAAAAGGTGTTTAAGAGTGCGGTATGTAGAGAGAAGAACTTGGAGTGTTCGAGAAGTTGCATTGCTCTTGGATGGTTTGCCAATGTTTGCCATAGCAGGTGTCAAGGAATTTTGGACGACCTCAGATACAATCCAACCCTGCATGTTGGAATGATTCATGTGCACATGATGGTTCCAATCCCCACAGTTGCCACTTTACATCCGACGATGCATGATCGTCAACTTCAGAGTGATTTTTCTGAAGCATGAGCATGGCCATACATGCGCATGGTTCAGACGCCATGGATTGGAGTGCTTTAAGTCTTGCAGGGACCCTTTTGGGGATTGTGGACCACGGATGAAGCTCATGGTTTTGGGTGGTCGCACTTGACACTCTGTGACGCAGCATCGACATCCGACCTTTGCGACAATGGGAGGTGGCGCCGTTGTTTCTGGGAGAACTGGCTAGGCGAGTCTGGGGATTATGGCGAATTCACCCCCACAAAGGGGTAGTGGTGTCAGATATTCTTGATGTTTAACCCCTTTGGGGATGATGAAACCCAACTGAAAAGAACACAAAACACGTCATTGCATGAGGTGTTTTAAAACCACCAACCAGATTCTCCATGATTCTCCAGATGGATGGACACCGATGGACACGCACGCGCCCCCGAAATCGCCATGGAACGGCCACAGAACGAGCATTCCGCGTCGCTGGCTTCGCCTCGCGTCTTCCGCGTTTGGCACGTTTCGCATCGTTGTCAGGTGTGCCTGCTGTGATTTGGATCATACAATGGATGGGGCGAATCTCTTGTGCGACCGGGAGATTGTGAAGGAATGTGTGTCGATTTGGTTTCTGAGATTGAGAAGACAGGGACAAAACAGGGGACAGGACTTCGATACTTTGGATACTTATAGCACATACCTGCAACCTCGTGTTTTCTTTTTTTTTTTTAAATCGGTGGTTCAACATACCGCATACCTTTATTTATAGGTTTGTGAACCACATAAACATCCGCAGCCGAAATAAACATCCGCTTAAAACACATGTTCGGGAAAAAAAAGCCTTTGGCTCACCAATAAACGCCCTTAGCTTGTGTATAAATGCCCGTGGAATATCAGAAAAAAACAAAAAAAGAGAACACTAGAGAAACATCCGCAGACTCAGATATAAGGCTGTGACTCCAAAATATGCCACGCCGCAGATCACACAATTGCACTCTGAGGAAGTTCCATGTGCTCACGCAAATCATCGCAAACAGACCATGTGCAGTAACATATGATATATATATATATAGTATAGTTAATGGATGCAAAAGAGACACCACAACCAAAACAAACAACAACGGGTGATAGTGGCCTGACAGTAGATGGGCGCAAATGTCCACGTTCGGTGGTTTAGTAGTGGACCTCCATCCCAGTAGTAAACCAATCTGAGACACCCCATGATCAAATTAACATGATCCATGTTGGCTAACCATCCATCATGTTCCCCCAAAAAAAAACAACAGGAAGATTGCATATACCCAGTAAGTCTAAGTATGTGCAAAGGATACCCCTGAAAAATATCTCTGGCTATATGGGAAGACACGGTGCCCCGACCGCTCGATCTGCAGGTTTGGGAGCCTCGAGGCCTTCGAAGAATCCATCCGTTCCTCGGCTTCGGTGTGCGTCCTGTGAGAGAGGAGGTGTGCGTCCTGCATGGGACTGGGGGACTATAGGATCTATCTATCCATCTATATAACAGTACATATATATATATATATTAACAGATGCCTAGATGGGGCAGAAATGTCTGCCTATGATGGGTAAAGGTGCCTTTGTCCGTGCTTAGGCGTTCATGCCCCCTGTAAGGCGTTCTTGTTTTTTTTGGTGGCAATGCTAAAATAGATGAGGATCCACCCGCCACTGGTTTGGGGAACTTCCACTGAGCTTCTTTGGCTCCACTCGATCATGCGATCATCGAACCATGCTATTCTATTTGTAAACCCTGCCGTGCAATCCCTGCCGTGACAACCGTGACATCGTTCGAAATTGAAACTTAACATAATGCATCCTGGCCCATCTCTCCCAGCCATCCCCCCAGCCATCCCCCCAGCCATCCCCCAAATCCACCACCCTGACATCGGCAGTTCACATGTTCACATGTTTTTACATGACATTCCTGTGAACGTTTTCCCATCCAACCTTCTCAATGATCCGAACACCAACATGGAAATCGTCATTGAACCATGTCGTACGACAACCAGTTGGTACCAAAAAAGAACTTGCTTCCATATTCGCCCCCCCTGTAACCACAACGTTTCTGATGATTCCAGATCCAAGTGCCAGCTTGGCCCGGCCCTGCCTTGCTCCCCTAGCCTAATTGGTGCTTTGAAACCACTGGCCGGACTCCTCCCCCACAGCGAGCATCGATCGACAACTCACGGAACCGCTCGCCGGGGGCTCAGGCTCCGAGCTCTCAGACGCCATGGCCACGGGTCTGAAAGATCGCGTCTTCACCCGAGGATGGCGCCTTGAGCTTGGTGGTTTGGTAACGACGACGATGCTGTACGCCGGTTAAGACAAAAAGCGAACAAGTTTTAAACAGAGAAATGAATCTATAATGATCTATATATAATTCTATAAAGGTGGACCATGCTTTGGGATTATTCATCAATGGGAAGATCATGGTGACCTTTGGTGACCAATTGATCCATTCTTATCCATTCTTTGGGGTCAACAATCGGGGTCAATGTCCACACCGCTTCCAGTTTCATGGAGTGGTCGAGTTTTCACCATGGGACCACGCGGCCTTTTCCACGTCCGTCTTTCTTTCCAATTAGCAAGAGGGAATGTCAAGGTCACCTGGGGTCTTTCTGTCCACCGGGGTCACCGTCGTTCGGGCCGTTCGGGCCGAACGCCTCATTCTCAGGTCCTCCGTTCGCTTCGAACCGACAGGGTGTTTGACCAGAGTCCCGGTGGATCACGAAAACGCCGAACGCTATGGACTTGATCTCACACTATTTGTAGCGCTGCTTTTCATGCCACGCTTTAGCCAACAAGAGGGGAAATAAAGTCAGACTTGACACATGGACTTGGTTCGAGCTCCGATGGGAAGTCTTTTGGGACCAGACTTTTGGTCTCACATCAGGCGAGCGAGCGACGCATGTGCAGGTGCAAAGAGGTGGCAGGTGCCGTGGTATGGCGCTGTAAAGAAAAAGAACCGCGCAGAGTTGAACCTCGTCGCTCCGGCTGGAGCTGAGGAGCCTATCAGTGACCACTCCCATCCTTTGGGCCTATTTTGATGTAGCGGTCTCTTGGGCTGCTGCAGGCGGGGGGCGCGACCGTCGACGGTCGACGGTCGGACGTTTGCCAATGGAGCCGATCACGTCGTTCATCGACGTCCAGGAACAAGCGGATCAAACGAGAAACTCTGACATTGATTGCTGCAAAAATGCTGCAATGCTGCAGTTTTTCATTTTTTTTAATGATAATGGTGAAACACAGGTGTTTTCATGGAATTGGTCAATTTGTGGGGTTCATCTTCGCTTGGAGGAGATGTGCTTTGGTTCTTTCTGATCCTGCTGGATGGCTGGGTGCTTTGGTTTCTTTGCGGACCCATCTACGCGGACTATTTGACCTTCATCACGTGTCGTTACTGCCGAAGAGCAAGGTCGACATGTGGAGAGATCCTGAAGAACACGGGGATTGTTCTTTTGGGATCGGGTGGTTTTCTGGTGATCGCTGGAAGCTATGTCCTTTGCCAGGGCTTTATACCTTTTGAAAAAGAGTGGTATGGTGCTGCAGTCTTCGGGGGCTCCTGGCTGACTGTGGCCACGATTCATTTGCTCTACAAAGTTTCACGCAACAAGTCTCACAGCGCTCGTCGATATCGCCTTGGCATTCGTAGCTGACCTGATTGGTAGTGGATACGCATGAAAATTGACGCAGTGACTGCGCTGGAGCCGAAGCAGCCTACCTAGGTGCAGTAGTGAAGGTGAAATCCACGGTAGCCAAACGTGGTCTGGTATAGGGCTTTTGGAAACTCCAGAGGACCCACCCCATGAACTGGTTGACTTCCCCAAAGTCAACACTTCAATTGCATGTTCTTCTGTTGTTTTGTCCAAGAAAGCCAGCACTTGTCAAGAAAGCCGCCCAAAACAAACATCGTGGCTGCGCAAGCTGGTTCTCCCTCAAAAAAAAAGGGTCAGCCACCTTTAAGACCTGCCACCCACCCAGTGTCATTTGTGTGCGCCGTTTGACCCGCCAAAACCAGCCCAAGCACTTGCCAACGGAAAAAATTACATATTGATAAGTCACTTGGCAGACCTTCCGAAGATTCCTGCAAACCGGTTGGTTAGACTGAACCGCTTGAGGTTGCTTGATGTTAGCTGGAAACGCTGAATTGCTGAACCACGGAACCCCACAAACTGCCCCCTCCGCAAGCCCAAGGCCCGACAAGACCGAACGGAGATTGGTCGTCCGGTGACCTTCTACCTGGAAGGAAGGCCTCGCACGAGAGCGGGAGAGGTCGATGGCGCTTCGCACCAGCGGTGCGGAGTGCGGATTGGGCGGTGCGGATGGCGGACGCCCAAAGAACTGAAGACCACTGGCTTGTTTGACCACATCAACCACCTAATAAACTAAGAAGTGTGTGACACATCTCGAGCCTTTTTCCACTGAATATTTCCAACATTATCTTCCCGGCCAGGCCTGAGCAGTACTTCGGACGTGTACGTGGTGTGGAGAACGGTGACTTGACAGCAACTAGAGTGTCAGATGCTTGGGTTGAGAAGGAAGCATGGTTCTTTCTGCCGAGAAACAGGCGGATAGCTATGGATTGCTTAACAAACCGTATGTGTTTTTTGCTGTGTTGCGTTTCATGAATATATAATGTACTACAGTTATATAGAATATATAACATAACTCTTTCATACGACACCACCTGAACTTTAATGTTGAAAAGACAAATATGTTCCGCATATTTCAGGAACACACCAGGTGTTGCATTTTCTTTACCTCAAGGCATGAACTCCGTCCTTGAGAAACTCTACTCTCGGCTCGCGGATTCGTGCTCGATCAGGGACTGTCGGGTGGACGTTGCTGAGGATCTAAAGCCGGCCGTCGAAGCCGTAGGAAGCCTAACGAGCCTCCGGGCAGCCAGCGTGTGTGGCTGCACAGCTATTTGGCTCACCTTAAATTGGACTCAGCGAAGAGAAATCACACGGGAGAATCACACCGGAAGGGCTTTTTTTAATCTTTGGGATCAACAAAGTGAATATCTCAGAGTTTATACCTAATTCTCTCTGTGCCTTTTATTTTGCATGTTTTTGCCAAGTCACCATTTTAGGTTAAGGTCTTTTAGTGGATTCATACTAGTGTGTTAGGTTCTTCACACCAAGGATCAATTGTAAGCTATCTTATATTTCCCGTGGTATGTTTTTTTTTGCACTGCCTCGTCGTCATGCTGCTAGTCATTCTGTGTCATTATATGTGTCGTGTGTTTGCCATGTTTGTTCCACAATCATATATAATGTGCTTGATTGAATATTTGCCTGTTGGTGCTTTTTGTTCCATCGTATAGCCTCATTTGATTTGTGGTAATGGCTGTTTCACATTTCACAAGTGAACAAGTGTAATGGAAAGGCAAACTAGGCAAACCAATTCAACAACTTGCAGTATATGCAGTGATTCTACAACTTAGGCTTGAGCAAAGCATGCATATGTTTAAATTTATCATGTGTCTTGGTGCAGGATCAAGTGACCCTTTTGACACAGACCAAGTAGAAAGTGGCGTTAAATAAATACACAATATGGTTGAGCAATGCTCCACATATATGCTCCACACAGGCTTCTCTCAATTCTGGAAGTGTTTTCCATCCAAGATGATCTAAATGTTGTAGGGAAAACATAGGAAAACTATTATTGTTTTATTGAAGAAACACATATTGAATGAAGGCGACCATCGTAGACAAAGGAACATCCACAATGGAGATGATATGCTCGTACATTGTGAGGCCCCACAAAGGGTCAACCGTCATTCATGAAGGATGAGATGTTCAAGTAGTATTGCCTACAGTTCTTTGGAAGGAATATGTTTTTGTCAGGATCAGGTATGGATAGAGGACGGGACTCCCATATAGAAGAAATGTTCGTTGAGGCTTTTATGGACGAATATACTTTCTAAAAATAGAGATCAGTTTGTTAAGAGAAAACATCTGAAATCAAATATTTGCGGAAGGAATAGAATAGGTGTACTTCAAGAAAGGGAGGCTTATTCAAATTGTTGAAAACTCTCGTGCAAGGGCTGCAAGGGTTCCTTTCTAACGGAGATCTTTGCACAATAAAGGAAGCTATTGGGTATGCAGGCGCAACAAAAACGAGGCATGGTAGCCTCGCATGTGGAAGCTGGTCCGGCAAAACAAACTATCGGCACGCACCACGTACTTCGCTCTATCCCGCTCGACGTGGACGTTTTCTCGACCGAGGTCGCTATTCGGTGGACGTGGTGGGCGGTGGCCGAAAGGCGGCCAACTGGGGAGACGAAAAGGCGGTGAACAGGGGTCTCTGTAGCCCGAAGAGTTGCGGCCCGACGGTTGATGAATGAAAGCGGATGAAAGCGGCTTTATACTTCTCCATATGGAGTGCTGAGTGCTGATCAACAGTCTACATGGAGTGGCCAGTCTACATGGAGACTCGCACGTTGGGTTCCCTGGATTGCTGGAGGTCTTTGACTGAGTTGCATTTGGTGACCAGTCGGAGAGTGACACTTGTTGAAGTGCTATGGCTGGGGATGGACTGGATGGACCGGTGTTGCTGAGTTTAGGACCTAAGGCCGGGTGTATAATTGGTTAAACTTGAGGTGTATCATTTGGAACTCACTATACAACCTATCTATACAAACTGGTGTTTTGTGTCCATTCTGCAAGCGTGGTATTTCGGAAAACGAAACCCTCTCTCGAACCCGTATCGTTCTGTCGATGCTCCGTTTTGTTCTCAAGCTCTTTCAGGGAGGGCACCCCATGCCGCCGTGCTCCAATTGCGGTCGAGTGTACTTTGTCGACCCGAGTGGAGCTTGCCGTGGTTGCATTGCCCTGAGGAGGTTGTCAGGAGAGTTGAGATTTGTGCCCATCAACGAGGTGGACGCCTCCTTGACCGTCTACCTACTCGAGACTTGCCTCCATACCCTCGAGTACCTCAGGGACATTGCCCACGCCCAAGCTGACCGTGCAGAACAAGAACGCCAAGGCCGGGCAAGGAGTGGCTTGGGGCTTTCCTCGAACAGGAGGAGCGAGAGAGGAGAGACGGTCAGCACAGGTGAAACTTCAGTTGTGAGCCGGCGTACTGAGGGTGCCAGGTGCGCTGATCAAGGCCAGGCTGAGAAAGGAGAGCGGACAGAGGCTGAGAAGAGCAGGAGGAAGGAGGCCAGAGGTGATGAGGAGAGAGACCGAAAGAGGCGCAGGCGGGGCTGAGGCGGAAGAAGGCTTTGGAGAGTTCTCCATTGAAGATTCTTTTCGATGGAGTTTGATGCAAGTTCAGCCAGGCGTGGTTGCTATCGCTTCAGTAGAGGTAGATGGAAAACCTGTGGAAGCCCCGCTTTTCATTACAAAAAAGGTGGGTCGAGTCGGATGGAAGTGTCACGGCCGAGTTCACTTCTTTGGGGACCGAGGATCCTCAGACCTCCAGAAAGTTGACTCAGCTCTCCAAGAATCTCAATTTGGTTCACTTTTGCATGAGTCCCAGTTGTCAAATCCCTGGAAATTTCCTATCCCATGTTCAGAAGGTTTTTCTGGTGAGAGGAGAAGAGATGAATACAGACCTTCTAGGGCATTCAGGACAAAGAAGGTGGAGTCAGCTTTGCATGGAACACTTGGGAATAGATGTTTCCGCGACCATCGAACAACCCCCCTTCCAGAGAGAAGAAGGCCGCAGATGCTCCCAGGAAGGGGGCCCTGAGGAAGCCAGCCGCAGAAGTGAGGAAGAGATCCATCAACGAAGGCGACGAGACACCAGGCTCGGGAGGCCGGCGAGATGGAGACAGACCTGGAGTGAGCTTTGCAGATCAGGATTACGAGGTTCCGGAGGAGCCTTTGCGAGAAGAGAAGGATCGTTCCCGTCAGAAAAGGCAGAGAAAGGAAAGTGGGGAAGTTCGAGCCTCCTCCAAGGGGGATGCACCAAGCTCCATGGGAGAAGCTTTAGGAGACCTAAGGAAGGAACTTGCAGAGCAGTTGAGGCAGGAGTCCGAGGAGGCTGCAGCGGTTGGTTCAGGGTCTACTCCAAGGCCAAGGACGTCAAGCTCTGCAGTGGAAAAGAACCCCCGGCAGGCTCCATCGCGGATGAGCTTGGCACTTCAAGAACCCCCTGCCGCGGTGAGCACACTTTTAGATTCGAGCCACGAGGAGCGAAGAGGAGGTTCTATGAGCGGCAAGAAAGTGAAGAGTGCCAGAGAGGAACTTGTTGCTGCGGCCGCCTCAGCTTCAGGGGACAGTGCATCTGCGCATGGGAGGAGGTCCAAAGACAAGAAGAGGAAGCGTGGCCGGGACTCCAAGATCATTCAGGCCTTGAGGACCGCCATTGCAGGCAAAAAGAAGAAGAAAAAGAAAAAGAAGAAAGGAAAAGGATCAGGCGCAGCGGGAGGAGACCCGCCAGACAGCAGTGGAGGAAGCGAGGACTCAGATGGCTCAGATTCAGGAGATTCGGAGGACGAGAGTTACAGCGACACTTCAGAGGAGAAGTTGAGTCGGAAGTTCAAAGCACCACTGAAGAGAAAAGCAGAGAGACGGGCAGGGAGTGTCGCCGAACTTCTTCTCGCGCAAATAGCTCAACAGCTGCAGGAGCTTCATGTGGATCAAGACCAACTCTTGACGGCCGGGCCCCGAGTGACCAGCTATTGGCAAATTACTCTTCGACCCCGCCATGGGGCCTTCGCACCAGCGATGAGGGAGCTCTTCCTGCTGGGGAGCGTGATCGACAAGATCAGATCCGGCCATCTCCTGGCAGCGCTGGACTATTTGGCAGGGCG